TTTAATCAAATGGGTCAAGATTATTTAAATAAAATTATTTCAAGTAATGAAATTTTAATAAGAGAATAGTTGATTTGAAAAGATTCTACAACATAGAATTTCATTTAAAAAAAAGGGAAATTATCAATAATTATATTATTCAAATTTTCATGATTCGAACAGATTTTACGACAAAAGCAGCGATGGTTGAAATTTTTCAAAAAATTTCTCTCACTTTTGAGAATTTTTAAGAAAAAAACACTTGAAAACTTATTCAGAATATTGAATATGTATCACCGTAGTAGTTCTGCAGAATCTTTTGTCTTCTATGACAATAGTTATAAGATTATGACAGCAGTTTAGTTACATTGTTTACACCTCTAATTGTATAGAAACATAAAATTAATCGCTTTTTTCATTGTTAAATTCTCATTTTTGTTCTTTTAGATGGAATATCACCTGTTAGTATATCAATATCATCATTAAATGATGAAAATCTCTATAAACAAGTAAATAATTTCTAATCTATTTTCTTTTAATTTGAATTTGAACTAGAATGAAACAACAACAACATATAATAAATCAATTTTAATTGTTGAATTTACTAAAGAAATCAATTCTTTAGCAAATATTCGAGATTATTTAGTTACATTTATCTCAGATCTTCTTATTACAACATCAAATAGTATTATTTTACAATCAACATCATTAGTTCAATTAACTCAATCAACAAATCAATTGACACGATCACTTTTAGTAAAATAAGAAAGAAATGGACAAACTTCGATTTTATTTTGAAATATTTTTAGACAATTGCATCAAATCGATGTTATGAATTATCATTTAAATTATATTCAATACGAACGAAAATTGCCTATGAAGATGTTCAATTAGCAGTCAATCAACTTCTTCAATGTGCTTCAAATGTTTTATCTGTAAGATAAAAAGAAGAATTTTCATTTTGATTTCAAAATTTTTAGGCTGTAAATGGACCATTACAAGAACGAACACAAATTCTTGATTTAGATTATTCTCGTGCAAATACAATTACATCCGATTATGATACTGATCTCGAATCTTCATGGTCAAATTTAAGTAAAAATAATCTCTTTTATCATTAACAAGAGTTTTTTTCTTTGAATTCTTTTGAGATTTATTTGCTAATGGAAATGATTTTTCTCAAAAAATAATTGAAAAAAATCGAAATGTTTATTATCAAAAACAATTAGCAAAGGAAATCAATAAGAAAGTCAACGAAATCAATTCATTATTAAGTTTAACATTAATTATACATCGAAATCTTGGTCAAAATTTTCTATTAAATACATCACAAACATTTTTATTATTTCAAACAATTTCAATTGAATCACTTTCAAATTTCATTTTTAATCAAATTGAAAATTCTCAGTTGATTTTTCCATCAAATTTTATTTTGAATTCAACAACAAATTCATCAATTTCAATTCGAGTAAAGATAAAATTCAAATAAGTTTGTTATTTTTCTTTATTTATTTTTTTAGTNGCCAGGGACAAACTTTAAACAAAGTTGTAATTGATTTAAAGTTACCAAAGGATACAGATGATATCGCTGCAGTCTATGTTCCATTGTCCAGAGTTAAACGTTTAACTGATTTAATTATTTTGCGACATTTCGATTACAAAGTCTTACTGATTAAACCCAGTAAATCTCAAGTCGCCGAGATGCAGAGACTAGACAAACTCTACATGGAAACACAAATGCGCTTTTCAGAATGGTTTCAACAAATTTTACAGAACATTTCAGATCTTCATTACTTGTCATCCACTTGTCGCATGTGATTTATTTGCATCTTTTGTAATTGAACAAATCTCTTTTGTAATTCAAACTTTTGTCTATTCATTTATTGTTTGCAAATATAAGTACAAGTTTCTTGTCGAATTTTTCTGCAGATGTATTTTTTGTTTAGCTTTTCCAATCTGTATTTGTTTATATTCAATCAATATTCAGTTGTTTTTTCTTTTCTTTTGTGCAGTTGATCATTATATCGTTAGCGTGTCTTTACTTCATAGAGAAATAAATAAATACAGTTTATATTATATTAGAAAGTATTTTTCTTGACTGAAACAAAGAAAAACAAACATCAAATTGATAATATATTGTGATATTTTCAGTCGAGGGTGATGCGAGTCACCACTGACGAGCGTTATTTATCTATTATTTGTATCAAAAATGTATGAATGTTCAAATTTAATATCAACTGCTCAAATGTTATTTGAAATGACATTAATGAAATTTGATGCACATGAATTAATTGAAGCTGATGCAAATCTTGGACCGATTTGCTTTGCTATATTTATTATTTTAGTAGTTTTTGTTTGTTTAAGTATGTTTATTTCAATTATTAATGATAATTTTCATCAAGCGAAAGAAAAGAACATAGAAAATCAAGTAATGTGGTCATTGATGATGAAAAGATTCTTACGTTGGTTGGGTTTGAAAAAATCAAGTCGAGCTGAAATTTATGCCGAAAATGATGCAAGAATGCGTTTAAAATATCTTGATCCAATTGAAGATTTTCCAGAGAAAATTGATCAATTATTAATTGCACTTAATAAAGTAAATGAAATGAAAGAAAAATATTTTATCATTTGAATTTTTCTTTATTTTATTTTAGATTTATATAAATCAATCTAATGAATTGAAACAATTAAGAAAAGCAGGAATTTAAATATAGAATAAAATTAGAAATATTATATTTATAACTATTTCATATTTGTAATGATAATTGTCTACAAAGATTGATATTTAATTTTAATCTTTCGGAAAACTTTTTTTACAATCTTTTCGAGTGATATTTTCAATAAACAACCATCATACTGACCGGATTCAAATACATAGAACAGCCTGTTCACGTAACAGTCCACTAGTGTGAGAAAAACCGATATATAAAAGTGGATGAAACCAACATGCACATGTTGCAGAGCATCAACGATAACATCAGAAGTCATATTTTTCAACTTCTAGGATGCATCTGTTTTCAAATAAAACTTGTTGATATGACACGCTCCAATTAACAGATCCATCAGTAAACAGGGAATATATCCTGATTATGATTTAAATTGTTTTTGTCCAAGGATATTGTTAATTGTAAGGTTAATTATACAATTTACATGGACTCTTCAGCTGTGTCATAATATCTCAGTTTTCTTGTTTATGGAGTGAGATATTGATTTATGCTATAGTAGTACATTTTTGAATGTAACTCCATAACGAAAAGCGCTCTTCAATTCGTTTGACAAATGATCAAACGCTAGTTTGCAATGCTCTACAATATGTGCTTGATTGTTTTTGCGAAATACGATCTGAAAGAGTGTTGAAGTGTGTAGGAGCAGAAATTTGGACTTCCCTCCCCACAGACCACGACCGACAGGCCCAAAGATCCTGTTATAAACTGCGTATCATTGTCTCACAGACAGGTTCATTCTCAACTTCGTTACATCGACACGTGTGGATCGCGTCACAGATCGAGATCGGTTAATGGAAGCACAATAAGAAGGATCACATATTGTGACCGATGAAGCAAAATTTCTTAAAAAGCAGCAGACATAGCTATTGATAATGATATATTGCTTTCAACAGCTTGAGTTTAGATAAATGAGAATGTAGACTGGGAAATAAATTGACCATTCTATGTATTCAAGGTTTATCTGGCTGGGTCGTGTTTCACATTTTTAATCCCGTTAGGGATCGCGCTGAAAGATTTTTTTAAAAGTTTTCGAGTTACTTATAGCGAGCGCAACGAAATCACCAATGGGTAATCAATTCTATTACATGAATTAGCAAAAAGTTCCTTAGAATGGGTAATTTCAAGAAATACACGTCTGACTATCGACAATTGATATTAGTCGTTCCATTGTCATAGATAAGCCGACCAATCACAAGATAATATTTGGTTCGTTTCTTTCTAATTTCTTTATAAATTAACCAATACTATTCAAATAAAATATATACGAAGAGACTAGCGATTGAACGGTTGTATGATTGAAAATCCAGATGATAAATTTTCATATCAAGATCAAAGTACGACGTCTACGAATATTATAACTACCACATTTAAAACAATTCAAGTTGTATCCAAACTTTTTGAAACTTTTATACATCTGATTTTACTTTTTTTCAAATACAACCAACTAATCTCGTCTCGTCATAGCTTTGGCAGCAGCTCAGCGGTCGAAAGATATAGCGGCGGCGTCAGGAATTTAGACTAGGGTGGGCTCGCCATTACTGAATCTTTATACACTCAAAAATTAGAGTCTAACCTGTTTCATGCTCCTGAGTTTGTCATGGAATTTCCTTTTTTAATTAAATAAACAATATACATACGTGTAAACACATATCTTGAGAGTAAATGCTTGATTATATATTTTCCAAAGTTTCAGATAATCTTAACATAATAAAATTCTGTTGTTCTTATGATTTCGTGCAAATTTATCTACTTTTTGCTCATAATCTATGAAAATATCACGCTCGCCAGTCAAAAGTGTTAAGTCACTTAGAAGAATATCAGTCATAGAATTACGAAGATAGTTCTTTATTATTTTCGTCTTTGAGAATGAACGTTCACATGTCACTTGTGAAACTGGCATTGTCATAGCATTTTTGATCATTGATATTATTTGTGGAAATGCAGTAGAATAAGAAGCTAATTCTTTTAAGAATTGAATAACATCGTTGATTTTTTTTCGACTTGAACATTGATTTAATAACAGCGAATTTATTTTTCAAGCTGCTTGAATCAACATTAACATGACGACAAAATGCAGCAACATCTTCACCGTTCAAAACGTTTTCACTTTCAAGATACACAGTGGACATACTCTTCATTAATAATAATGTTTTTGATGAAAATCTATCATTTAACTCTACCAACATACAATTAATCATAGGAAAATAAATCTTATTCATAAAATCAGTTGATGTGGACAATATTTCACGTTGTCAAATAGTTGAATTAATAAAAAAAAACTTTAAATCGAGTTGGAATTTGTGTTTTACGATTTATATGATATTGTTGTACGAAATCAATTCCATTTGAATCACGAAACTGTTTTGTCATATCATAAATTTGTTTATATGTTTGTTCGTTACGAAGATCGGCTATTTGTTGAATAATTGATGTTACAAGATGTTCAGATCGTACTCAGTCTAGAGAAGAGCCTTATGAAAGAAAAACAATAATAGTTCTTCCAGATCATTAATATTTTTAAGATTCCAAAAAAATCTTAGGGTGGACTGAGCCCACCTTTGGCACCACCGCTACTCTATTCCCTCCCCTCAGGAATGATTTGGACAAAAAAGACAATTTTTTCGATAACTCAGCCATTTGTTGGCGGATTCTTCTCATCTTCGAGCTCGACCAAGATGCTAATGAGACTAAACTTAGTAGAAAATATCGTTCCCGATCTGATCCTCCTTTCGAAATTGATCGTGTAAACGGATGGACAGACACACAGACCGATTCACAAAAATAACACTCTTGTCATTTTCTGGACTAACTGTGTCTTTTTCTTTATACTCCTTGGGCTGACAGTGACTCTGATCCTGACCTCTGACTTGAGAATGATTCATCTTTATGGGGTATTACTAATTTATGCCAACACCACCAACAGCCAACTTTTCGAGATGGCATGTTGGTCACGCCCACCCTCAATCCTTACTGGCTACCAAACTCACTCTCCGCTTGATATGAATATGCTCATCCTAATCTTCACCCACACCTTCATACCCTCACTCACATAGTCNCATTCTTGTTCATGCTACCAGCATGTATGTGACAAAAACAGATTTTATGGAAATTTTACTATTATGATAACAGTTTAATAATGATCAAATAGCATAGAAAAATAGAGTGAAACACGCTCTATCTTTTGGTAAAAAAAGAAATTTCTTTACGTCTCTGCCTAAGAAAATAACATACCTCCCTCACTACTTTTGGATTGCCCTAAGTACATGCAAACATATATCTTGAGGGTAAATGCTTGATTATATATTTTCCAAAGTTTCAGATAATCTTAACATAATAAAATTCTGTTATTCTTATGATTTCGTGCAAATTTATCTACTGTTTGCTCATAATCTATGAAAATATCACGCTCGACAGCCAAAAGTGTTAAGTCACTTAGAAGAATATCAGTTATAAAATTACGAAGATAGTTCTTTACTATTTTCGTCTTTGAGAATGAACGTTCACATGCCACTTGTGAAACTGGCATTGTCATAGCATTTTTGATCATTGATATTATTTATGGAAATGCAGTAGAATATGAAGTTAATTCTTTTAAGAATTGAATAACGTCGTCGATTTTTTTTCGACTTGAACATTGATTTAATAACAGCGAATTTGTTTTCAAGCTGCTTGAATCAACATTAACATGACGACAAAATGCAGCAACATCTTCACCGTTCAAAAAGTTTTCACTTTCAAGATACACAGTGGACATACTCTTCATTAATAATAATGTTTTTGATGAAAATCTATCATGCAACTTCACCAACATACAATTAATCATAGGAAAATAAATCTTATTCATGAAATCAGTTGATGTGGACAATATTTCACGTTATCAAATAGTTGAATCAATAAAAAAAACTTTAAATCGAGTTGGAATTTGTGTTTTACGATTTATATGATATTGTTGTACGAAATCAATTCCATTTGAATCACGCAACTGTTTTGCCATATCATAAATTTGTTTATATGTTTGTTCGTTACGAAGATCAGTTATTTGTTGAATAATTGATGTTACAAGATGTTCACCTCGTACACAATCTGGAGAAGAGCCTTATGAAAGAAAAACTCTAATAGTTCTTCCAGGTCATTAATTTTTAAGATTCCAAAAAAATCTTAGGGTGGACTGAGCCTACCTTTGGCACCGCCACTACTCTATCCCCTCCCCTCAGGCATGATTTGGTCAAAAAAGACAATTTTTTCGATAACTCAGCCATTTGTTGGCGGATTCTTCTCATCTTCGAGCTCGACCAGGATACTAATGAGACTAAACTTAGTAGAAAATATCGTCCCCGATCTGACTCTCCTTTCGAAAGTGATCGTGTAAATGGATGGACGGACACACAGACCGATTATAGCAGTGTACTCACTTTTTGAGTACACAAAAATAACACTCTTGTCATTTTCTTTATACTCCTTGGGTTGACAGTGACTCTGATCCTGATCTCTGACTTGAGAGTGATTCATCTTTATGGGGTGTTACTAATTTATGCTAGCACCACCAACAGCCAACTTTTCGAGATGGCATGTTGGTCACTCCCACTAACATCCACAGAATTGCAAAATCTACATTTTTGAAAGCACAAATGGTGTCCGTTCATTGAGTACTAGGGTCCTAGGTGAACATCTGGGTGAGAATCATAAAGGTCTCAAATCACTGTACCAAAACAGACAAGAACCTTTGTATTCGGCTGTATGATGTCCCTAAATGCACTAGCCCTTACTGCCTACCAAACTCACTCTCCGCTTGATATGAATATGCTCATCCTAATCTTCACCCACACCTTCATACCCTCACTCACATAGTCACATAGATTCATATCGTGACTCCTTCTGATAACCTTTGCACCCTTTCTACCTCATGAGTGAGTGTGTAAATTACGGAAGGAAATATGAAAGTTCTTGTCTGCTTTGGTGCGGTGGTTTTGAGACTTTTATGAATCTCACCCAGATGTTCACCCAGGACGCCAATACTCAATGAGCGGACGTCATTTGTGCTTTCAAAAATGTAGATTTTGCAATTCTGTGAGTGTTAGTGGGAGTGACCAACATGCCATCTCGAAAAGTTGGCCGTTGGTGGTGTTAGCATAAATTAGTAATACCCAAAAAGAATCGCTTTCAACGTACGGACAATTATGGCAAAGAGTGTTTTCTCAGTAATCATATACAGTATTCGTTCAGCATAAGAGCTCTGACTCTTTTTCAATGCACTACATATACAGATGAAACTGAAAAGGCATTCTCTCAAAAGAACGTATCGAACTCTATCATGGTCTAACTTTCGTCTAGTTAAGTCTCATCTTTCCGTACATTGAAGAAGTCATTTAAAAGCTGTACTAGTAGAAAAATCAGTAATTAGTGAATTTTACCATCGTTAGTTACTGCAATATAACAACTAAACTACTCACTGGGTAGATTTCATCGAGTTCTATCTTAGTCTAACACTGATCTAGCCTCTCTAACTCAATATTGTTTTGATATAGTACATTCATTAGTAAGGAGTTACTATTTAGTGATTTTTACCACTACTGTACGTTCGAACATAGTATCCAAGGTAGTGAATCGATAGAGCTCCTCGAGCTGCATTTGGCCTAGCCAACAGGCGAATCCCATTCTAAGATACCCTAGGTGGTGCATCTTCACAAACAATATCAATTTAATTTCAATGAGAAGAATTCAGAACAACGGTCAAGCCGTAGAATGTTTTTTTGATTTGAATTTATCTAAAATTAATTTTACTGCACATAATAAATACGTTTTCTCCATTTGAAAAAATGTTGAAAAGGCTATAATAAAACTATACGAATGTTAGCGGTTACTTTACATGATTTAAAATCGGACAATTTTCTATTTCTTACACAATAATTTCTCACTTTTCTTTTCTTTAGCATGCCAATGGAACGATGTATCTATATGTATTTTTCAGTTACTTGTAATACATAGATATGGATGAGTATGACAATTGATATAAATAATATTGGGAGAAGTGAGTAATCATATCGATTACTTTACTAAAGTGTAACTTGATACTTTACTCTCAGAATGACAGTGCATGTTAAATTAAAGTACTGACGTCAAAAGTACTTCTTTAATTCTCAGTTAATAGATTTAGGCTTGACAAAACATCGAAAAATAAATATCATCATTACTTGACATATATTTTCATATAAATATATTCGGTAGCTAAAAAGCAATTCTTTAGGTTTATCGCTTGCAAAAAAAATTTAACATACAACAAGATGAAAAATATCGGTCTATTACTTCTACTTACATGTATCATTCAAGTTCAAGGTGTTCTTTTCGAAGCGACATCACCAGGTAATGAATAATTGATAAAATCATAGAAAATAAACAAATAGTTGGATTCTAGGAACGAAACTTGATTGTGCCGCATATGCAAATGACCAAGAAATTTTGGCTACATTTCCGTTTTCTATTCCATTTTTACCATGGACTGATTATTCACCAACTGAATATGATAAGACATCTGGTCGTTGGGATTTTTTCCAAAGAGTTTACGAACTGGTCATTGTCAATGAAAACTTTATTCCATCGACAATATTCTGTTTACGTTCATTACAAAATCTTTACATTCGTAATAGCAGTTTTTATACTGATAATCATGATATTAATACGAATTTTCCACTACCAATTAGTACCGGCCATTCGGTATATTCGCTTACAAGTTTAAGAATATATGATACTCCTGTAACTTATTTACCAGAAGAATTCGGTAGTTTATTCAATTTAGAAACACTCGAATTATCGAATACAGGTCTTATATCTCTCCCTGATAATATTGGTCGATTAACTTCATTAAATCATTTATCATTAATTCATCAACAACTATCAATATTACCAAAAACTCTTGTGAACCTTGAAAGATTATTTTATTTGGAAATATCACATAATCCAAAACTTCATTCACTAGAATCGCTCAATGGTCATCGAAGTATTGGTATATTGATTGTCAATCATTGTGAAATCGAATATCTTCCCGATGATTTACCGAATTTATCCCAATTATATTTATCATATAATAAATTAACAGATCTTGATGGTATTGGAAATTTGGGTTATAGTACTGAATTAAAGAAAATATTCTACTTTGATAATAATCAAATTCAATCAATTTCAACAGGAATTCGAAATGTGAAAAATTTACATACATTGAATTTGGCTAGAAATGAATTGACAAAATTACCATCAGTTATCTTCAATATTTCTACAATGAGATATTTAGATATCAAAGATAATGACTTTAATAAGGTACAGCAAGATGCCATTATTGAAAAATTCAAAACTTCAAATCAACTTTTAACTTTTTCTATCTGATTTGATGTCATTTGATCTTTATCATCTCGATAATAAAATAAAATATGAAAAACTAAGATGAAATTTTATATTTTTGCCAAAACACAAGACCTATCTTAAAGGATGCATTCTCTTCTCTCAGTAGTCACACACTGTGACCTTTACGACAAGGGACGAGAGTTAATATTTGTCTATGAGCTAGTGGCAGACTCAGCCTGTCCACCGAAAATTCGAGTTGCTTCAATATATGCTATATGATATTTCATACGACAAGGAAGTTTTGATTCTTTTCTATCATATATTTGATTCGATATTGTTAAAGGTGAATGATCGCTTTTCTGATGCCAATACTCTTATTCTGAATGGCATATATGCGCTATGTCCGGAGAGTAATAATTTTCTTCACATCGAATCGATTCAACCATTGGGAACACAAATGAATGTTGATTTTCCACCTTTGTGCAACAAGATACAGGTTCTGAAGTCTGTGTTGAAAGATAAAACAATGGACAACACTGTTGATTTATACATCGAGTTATTACCTTGAAAACCAACTTTTCGTCAGCTGACAGTGCTTCTTCTCGTTGCAATAACGATTCCTATCCCTTCTACAATGTGTGAACGAATAGCATAGCATTTCTTCACGATCAAGATTTACACACTCTGTACCTCCAGCACATGTTAAGTTTACACTAAACAAATTTAGAAAGATAGGAAGACGTGAAGCTGAGCCTGTCCACCGCCAATTTTCTGATTACGCCGCTACTCTGAGCGATCGATGTATAACTTTTCGAATTTCTGTTATACAAATATCAATCCGATGTCATATATTTACTTTCTTGTTCTTTCATTAAGATTTCACAAGTATTGAACAACAGTTGCTTATTACTTTATCACTCCATCTCAGATTTAAGAGAATGTCATCATCTAAGTAGATGAAAATGCATGACGAGTCATTTTTATTCAATGTACTCTTTCTATTCTTTATTTAATAAGCTATTGATCCTTTATTACATATTGAAAAAATAAGTCTCATCATCATGACTAATATTCACATATATATATACTTCGCTTTTCAAAACTGATTTCAGTTTGATCATTTACAAAATAATACTATGCAAAAGTTGGTTTTATTACTGGTGCTTTCATATATCATTGGAATACAAGGAACGGTCCTCGAAAAGACACAAGCAGGTAATGAAAAATAGATACAATCATAGAAAATAAGCAAATAGTTAGATTCTAGGAACGACACTTGATTGTTCTGCATATGCAAATGACCAAGAAATTTTGGCTACATTTCCATTTTCTGTTCCATATCTAACATGGCAAGATCAATCTTCAAATACTTTTGCTCGATTAGGCTCAGATGATCATGTTGTATATTTACAAATTTCAAATGAAAAATTTGTGCCATCAACAGTGTTGTGCTTAAGTAACTTACAAACATTTCTTATTCGAAATACAAGTTTATCGCAATTAACATTGGATAATAATTCAATTCAACGTTTGGGATCGAGTTTATACAATCTCGGTATTTTCGATACACCAATCAGTCATTTACCAAAAGAAATTGGTAACTTAACACGTTTAATGACACTTACATTATCCAATAATGGTCTTGTTGAATTACCAGATACAATTGAACATTTAGGATGGTTACTTGAATTACATTTATCATATCAAAAATTAACTTCATTACCTTTAACAATATCCAAATTACACTCATTATTAACTGTTGAATTATTATATAATCCAAATCTTCATTCAGTACAATCATTGAATAATCTTCCTAACCTATCAAATTTATTCGTTAGCCATTCTTCAGTCGATAATCTTCCTCGAAATTTGCCACAATTATATGAATTATATATGTCTTACAATAATTTAACTGATCTTAATGGGATTGAGACTTTAGGTAATGGTAATTCATATACAAAGTCATTTTATTTCAATAATAATCATATTAAATCAATTCCATCGGAGATTTCCCAAATAAACAATCTATTTACATTGAATGTTGCTCATAATGAATTAACCAATATCCCAAAAGAATTATTCGATTCTAAAACACTTCGAAATTTAGATGTCACTCATAATTTATTTCCAAGTACAATATTACATGACATTGATGAGAAATTCAAAGTTAATAAAGCAATTTTCACATATTCTATCTGATGTTACTAATTTTATTTTGATGTTCAATTAAAAATAAAATATTCAATTTTCAATTCGAATCTCTCTTCTTTGCAACAAATTATAGGAGAAGCAAAATGATATTTAATCGAATGATTGGATGCGTAGCAAGTACTGCATTAAGTATCTAATCTAAGTGGAAACCATGAGGGTGCGGGGTGGGTGCCAGTAGGGATCTAGTTTAATTGAAAAAGCATTTCAATACCCTCTATTTGTACTCTGACCCTAAGTCATAGTTGATATTATATCTCATCTCTTTTTGTTCTCGTCTAGAGGTGAGCCATTTCCGTTAAATTGAAATTAACGTAAACAGCAACCCGTTAATTTCCACTTAATTAACTGATGAACGATAAGAAAGATTTTCTATTACTTCAGAGGAAGTTGTAGATCCATTCTGGCTCCGCAACTTTAGATTTCTGAACGAAAACTCAAAGATCCATGGTCAATATCGCACAGCGGAAGGAAAACACTGTCTACCTGTAAGAAAATTAACAACCAATGCAGATCTCTGGAGGTCAAAGGAATATCTTTATATAAGGCCTTCTTGATCGATTTCCAGCGAAAATAAGTGTCTGAAAAATATATCGCTGTCGTCGGTGATTGGTCGAAATTGACCAATCAGAATTCGCGGTAATAGGCCTTGAAATACAAACTTTTCCAAGATTGGTTCCTACGATGGCATTAAACTGAGAGGTAAGTATCTTACTAGGGTACATGTAATTAATCCTGAGTCCTACAGATAATTAGTTGTCAGAAAGGATCACAGATTATAATTATTTCAGCGTTCATCAGTTAATTAAGTAGAATTAAATTGAATGGTCCACCCGAACTTCCTCATATGTTTTAGAAGATTTAAAAAACGCAAAAACTTCGTTAACAACCTAATATTACCGGTTTTCCATAATTTCTAGCGAGAATCTTCGATATGATTAAAATCTGATTTTAACCGTCTCGAAAATCCAAATCACAGATCAGTCAAGAGCGCTGTTCTGTGCTTGGCCAGGTTCCTTCGACATGATGAGTGGTTAAATTCTATGTTTTTGGGTAATCAGGCGTTTCTTGAGGGTTAAGATGGCGAATAATTTGAATTCTGTATCGTTGGAATGTTCTGGAACCGGCCAGTTCCGCGTCAGATTCTCCGACTTGGGTAATAATTAGCTGGTTAGCGAGTTTTGGTAGCACTACTTCAATACTACAATACCATTTTTTTTCGGTTCTTCCATGCATATCTTTATAGTTTTTTGCTCATGTGTTCAGTATATAGAGGTTCCACTATGGAACGTTTTACTATAATTAAAATTGAGTTGAGTTATGTCGTTGAAGTTAGAAAAATGAAGAAGAAAATGTTTAAAAAAGATGCAAAACGTCGTTAACAATCGAATAATTATGATAAACCTGCCTAGCTACTTCGATGAGTTCTGTTGACATCGCTTCCTTTTTAACAAATAATCAAAAAGAAGCTTTCAGGAACTTTTTTCTACGTAATTTTATTATTCATCATAGTAAAATGCGAATAACAGAAGAGAAAGTGAAAGACAACAAATTTCAATTGAAAAATGTAACTTGTTGAAGAAACACAGTTTTAAACGTGTTGTTATCATACAACAATGCTGTGACTGAGCTCCCCTAGAATTTTCGAAAAAGTATAATATTTGTCGGAAATGTCATTGTATACCGCTTTCTGTACTTTATGAAAAGATTTCCATTCGGTTGTTCTATTAGTTATTCATAGAATCGAACACAAACGTATTTCCTTTTCTTACCGTTTCAGCTTCATAATAATATTCAACTAAGACATGACTTCTGAAAAAATGATTATTGAGGTGAACACATGAGCATGATGCCTAAGTTGTGTACTTTACATCTAAGTAAAGATTTGATTGTATCTGCAGGATTTCGAAAAAATAACTTACATTAGTTGGAGTTATTATTACGCATACAGATAAACAATGACTAGTTGAACAAATTTTTCTTCACTATGCTTTCCTCTATCAAGCTACGGTTTTTTAATTGATAGATGGAGATATCCTTCTTCAGATGACCAGAAGAAATGTTTTTTTTACTCTTAATAACAAACAAAATTTAAAAACTGGCTCCACCATTTGAGGTATCAAAGAGTTCTCTCTCAAGTGAAACCGACCTGAGTGCTCTATCTCAAGTTAGAATAAAAAAATCCTTCTATCCGTCGAATCCCTATATTGAGGGCTAGGATCCTTAAATTTTTTTACACGCGTAGCTCTATGTGTCGAGCATTTGTAAAAAGATTTATGAGAGTTCTATGTACTATGTTGCGAACTCATTTTGGAAGGAGAGATTTTAGAGAACTGAAGTATTTGAGGACTATTCACTATATCAATTAATATCTTGAAAGGCGAGAGGCCGAACCTCTTGAGAGAAGTTTCTGGCACCGTCGCTACATACGTATATCATTAAACATCTCCTTATCAGGATATTTCTTTCTGAACAACGTACCAAAAATATACAGGAATTGACTTTTTAAGGGCAACTAGATTTCGAGGTCAATTTTTACATATACATGGTGACTTTCTATTCCATTAGATTAATAGAATGAGATGAGAAAGAGAAACATATATTAAATTCAGAAGAAAAAAAAGTATTTCTTGCACAAAGAAGTTCTTTCTTTTGTTAAGTGAAATTTATTTCAATTACAGTCTTGTTGATTATGGCTTCAAGGAAAACTTGCTTATTGATTCTTTCAGTGATTATTACGCAATTAGTCGGAGAAGATATGAGATCCGTTCGAATGTTTGCAGTGCGTGGCAGAAAATTTCAATGTGCTACTACAACTTGTTCACCATTTGTTAATACCGTTACTCCGACTATTATTAAATGTGAAATGACTTGTTTAGCTCAAGTTTATTGTAGGGCAGCTAGTTTTCATCAATCAAATTCTAATTGTGAATTATTTACGGATATGTCAAATGAAATTGGAAATATGTTGACCGATCTGGACATTATTACAACGATTGTTATTGCTGGAACTCGATCTCCACCTGGTTAGTACGAATATAACCATTAGATTGAGAAAGAAATTGAGGATGAGAATGAGTATATGTGATTACGAGAAAATTTAATCTTCAAAAAATAACAACCCTCACTTACATCTGAGTACAATGGAGATCTAATTAAATTAAAGATGATAGAAATATAACGATGATGTGAGCCATCTGCTTACTTACTCTTCTAGCATGATGCACTTATATCTAGATAAAATATAATAATAAGAGTAAAACTGACGAATCATTCTGTCTCATTCTAAACCCATCTCTGCATAATAGAACCGGCTACAACAACAACATCAACAGCAACCACGTCGACAATAACAACAACTATTCGAGGTTAGTAGGACACTGTGTGGTTTCTAATTGTCTAAACGATCAGTACCACATACTAGTAACGCTCGTCGAGGCAGACTCGCTATACCCTCGACTGAACCACTGACTGAAAATACAATAGTCTTATATGCATTTTATGCAAAAAAAGATAGAAGTATAACCTTTGAAGGGGTCNTTATATGAATTATATATGTCTTACAATAATTTAACTGATCTTAATGGGATTGAGACTTTAGGTAATGGTAATTCATATACAAAGTCATTTTATTTCAATAATAATCATATTAAATCAATTCCATCGGAGATTTCCCAAATAAACAATCTATTTACATTGAATGTTGCTCATAATGATTTAACCAATATCCCAAAAGAATTATTCGATTCTAAAACACTTCGAAATTTAGATGTCACTCATAATTTATTTCCAAGTACAATATTACATGACATTGATGATAAATTCAAAGTCAATAAAGCAACTTTCACATATTCTATCTGATGTTACTGATTTTATTTTGACGCTCAATTAAAAATAAAATTTTCAATTTTCAATTCGAATCTTTCTTCTTTGCAACAAATTGTAGGAGAAGCAAAATGATATTTAATCGAATGATTGAATGTGTAGCAAGTACTGCATTAAGTATCTAATCTAAGCAGAAACCATGAGGGTGCGGGGTGGGTGCCGATAGGGATCACGTTTAATTGCAAAAGCATTCCAATACCCTCTATTTGTACTCTGACCCTCAGTCATGGTTGATATTTTATATCCCATCTGTTTTTGTTCTCGCCTTTTTGTGTGTGCTTACTTAATATCTTTGATGGATCGAGTATAACCATATACCTATAGTAAAGATACAAAGCAAATACATATGGATAGCTTAGACTTAATAGATTGAAAGGCAGTGATCAGTGATATGAAATTCTAGTTAGACGATTAACGTTCAGAAAACAGAGCATTTCAAACATTAAGTATCTCATATTTGCCAGTTCTGTCGACTTCAATGAGTATTAACAAGTTGTCCTCATCTAATAGAAGGCATCATTTTCCTGTACCCATAACCCCACTCCTTTTCTAAAATTCAATTTGAAATATAAAAAACCAGATTCATCTCGAGAGCATTCACCATCTTTACACAGCAACATCTTGAGGGTGGGTGAGGGTGCGGGGGAGGGTGTTGAGGGTTTATCATGTAAGTAGCGGCAAGTTGCCTGATATGTGAGGGAAAGCAAAGGTGAAAATATTAAGCAGAGCTATCTGCCATATTTACATGGAAAGTTGTGTTGGTGTTAAATTGAATAAAAGAAGGTTTTGTGACAGAAACCCTAATGTCCGATGGATAGGGACGCTGCATTTCGCTGTGTTCTTCGTCCGTATATATGTGTAGAGAAAAACGTTTTTCTGCTCGCTACGCCTTCACTACTTGTAATAGCTGTCGTCGGCAAGTGTCCGACGACACGTCCTTTGACCCAGTGGAAGGTTGAGATCTGCTTTCGTGCCGAAAAACTATACCGCGCGCTCGCACCCAAAAATCGAATGCTGGGTCACTCGAATACTCGAAGAGATAGTTGAATACTTCAATTCAAGTTTCGAGTTTGACACTACTGCACCATCTTAAGACATCTGAATTAGTTATTCACTATGTGCATGTAAAAAAAGATTCCATTCATTAAAACGCGATAAGCTTTAAGTTTACGATTACATCTTCAAAGTATTTCGAAAATAACTTGATTTTATACCAATATAAATGCCTATTAGCTATCATATTAAACAACATCATTTCTCATTTTTAGCAAGACGACAACAACAAAAAAAACCGATACTTTAATTAATTACGTTCTTCAAATTCAACCATCTTCTCAATGATACAACTGACATTAAACTCAATTGTACACAAAATTCGTGCGTAACTAAATCATTTTAAAACTTTCGCCCATTTACATTCTTGTATTTTAATGCATCAACATATACGTGTCCGATACCTTTTCACATTGCTAGACTTATAAAAATCAACTGCAAACTAATTCATATTGAAGTAGAGATAATTATCATACGATGAGATCCGTAGTTGGATTAGTGAAATGCGATCATAGCAGTTGCTGTTTTCTTTTTCTTGCAATGACAAATTTCACATAACAATACACGATGCTGCTGCAGCAGCATGAAAATTACCGAAGAAATCAAAAGGAAAATAAAAAAGTGGTCTTTTTCTGTGAACATCCGAACAGTTCACTATCTTTAATGTCATGTATCGTTGTTTATCTTTGGGCAAATTTGTATATCTTTGACTTGCTCAGGAACCACAATATCCAGTCTCTTATCTGAAGACCCCAAGCAGTCTGTGGAGATGCTAATTGTGGAAAACCGGGTGGAATTCCTTCCGTTTTTGCATATATTGGGCGAAAAACTTCCTCGTATTTCTTCACAGCATGAGGAACATCATTGGTGCTCTGTATCTTCGACAGCTCTTCCGCCAGTACGTAACCACTTTCAATGGCAAGACTTGTTCCAACACCAAAAGTGGCGAAGGCTGCATCTCCCAGCACAAGGGCGCGTCCGTTCGTCCATNCGAGAGATTTGACAGAATCACCGTATATGTACCGAACATTGTCCAAGCCTTCGGTGGCTTCCAGGAAAAGTCGTGATAAGTCTGCCCTTAGGATTTCGTATTCAGCAGTGAAACCACCACCACCACCAATGAATTCAGCAAAACTTTTCCCCGATGAATTCACAAATATTGTACCTTCTTCTGTAGTACTAAAGGAGCGGACAGCCTCTTCCAATTTCATTTTCTTCATAATTTCAATTGCTCGACCACGAATGTCGATCGCTTGACCAGTGACTCTCGGAGAACGTGATCGTTCAACGACTGTAATGGACGTATTGAGACCTGTTTTGGTAAGCCAATATGCGAGACAAGGCCCTGCAATACCTCCTCCTGCTATGAGGACTTTCAATTTGAGTGCGGACATGATTCTTGATTGTTTATTGTTTGTTGAAAGTTTATGTCTGAAACCAATTAATTTATCTAAATCAAACAAGAAGTGAAGAGAGACAAAAAAATGCTGAGAACTAATTCACAGATATAAAAGAACAAATCTATGTAAAATGGCTGATATTCAAAAACGTTTTTGTTGAATATTACTCCAGCAACTGAAAGGACACTCCTACAATCTTTTTGAAAAATCATGACTCATTTTAATCAATTTATAAGTTCGCCTATATACATATATATAGAAGAATGAATTTCCTGCAACTTTTCGGTAAAAACTTGTATAGAGGTTTTCTAAGCGAACAGTAGTTTCTCTGGAACCTTCTAAGTCCTCTGCTTTCTTCGAGCTTCCGTCATGACTTTGGGCAAGAGAGTCACGAAGAAAAGTTCCGAAATATATCATTTTCAATGAAATTAGTCAAAATAAATTCAAAGTCATTGGAACACTAGGCTTTTGGTGTGAGCTTTTAAATTGGAATCTACTGATTTGGCACAGAAAACCATTAGTAATCATTCTAATAGATATCGATGGAATCTTCTCACTTATTATAAACTCTTCAATAGAAATAGTGGCGGCGCGAAGGTGAGGGAGAACTGAGGCCCTAGATTTCTTCTCTCTGTCAACTTTCGAGAAGCTGTTAAATAACATTCGGCATTACGTAATATATAATCGGTTTCTGTACGAAATCGTGTAACAACGAACATATTTGTTGGAACTAAAACTCTATCAAATTAAATGAGAAAAAGAAAAAATAAATTTTACGAAATGTTCGCACTGCCTGTACCTTATGTACGCGCGCATTAGAATAGTCGACAAGAAGAGAAAGAAGAAAGCAACACAAAGAACACGCGGAGTAAGTGTATGCGTGCACTATAGGTAGATCAGCCTAAGATTCTTTTTTTTTCGTTCTGTTTCTTTCTTTTCTTGCTGCTTATTTTTTGTGGTGTGATGTAATGAATATACTCAATGGACAAAAGAAGAACTATATGACTTGTTAAATTCTAGTAGAGAGCGACAAAAGTGACTATAGTATGTTATGTAACCTAAGTTTATATGACGCATTGTTGAAGGAAAGACACAAAGAAAAGAAACGAAATGAATCTTGAGAAGGAGGAGGGTGAGGGTGTTTTCTTGCATATATACATTCTTATGTCGGACAAATTTTCAAATGTGATAAAATAAGACACCGCAATGCTCATATCAAGCTTCTGAACTGTATGTTCTAATATCTAAGAATTTCGACGATAAAATGTTGCTACTCCTAAATCATAAATAACGCTCGTCGAGGGAGTGTCGATTATTCATGATCATTTTACACACATCAAACAGCAGTCCGCTATGAATAGCTACTATGACCCTTGCGTCTTTTAGTAATGCGAAACTCGAAATTTCGACTCAACTATTTTTGCAATCTTTTTTTTTCAATTATTTGAATATTCGACTGCTTTCAAAACTCTTCTGTTCATCCTCACTGAAATGTTCGCATCGACAACATATCCTAATATGCATATCTATGATAGAATAACTTATACTATGTAGCAACCATAATCCACTCCTTTTCCTACAATGCCTAATGCAAAACCTTTTTCTACTACTTCTGCTAAAACTGTATATATATTTCTTTTTAATACAGATCACATTTTAAGTCTTAGGCCCTTGATTAAGGCTATATCTATTGCGAATATACGCACGAACAACCGATATGTTAGCTAAAAAGGTTTTTAGTAAAAATGTCCCACCCATGAAAACTACTCCATTCAACTCAGAATTGAATTCAGCATCGAATGGTGTAGTTTTCATGAGTTGGACATATTTACTAAAAACGTTTTTAGCTAGCACATCGCTGGAAAACACTGCCTACCTGTAAGAAAATTAACAACCAATACAGATCTCTGGAGGTCAAAGGAACATCCTTATATAAGACCTTCTTGATCGATTTCCAGCGAAAATAAGTTTCTGAAAAAGAAAATCGCGCTCGTCGGTGATAGGCCTTGGAATACAGACTTTCCCAAGACTGGTTCCCACGATGGCATTAAACTGAGAGGTAAGTATCTTACCAGGGTACATGTAATTAATCCTGAGTCCTATAGATAATTAGTTATCAGAAAGGATCATAGATTATGATTATTTACGCGTTCATCAGTTACTTAAGTGGAAATTAACGGTTAAGTGCAACCCATTAAACGTTAATAGTAACGGATAACGGGTTCCATTAATTAACGACCATCAATTAAGTAATTAGTTAATGAGCACTAATGAGCAATGTTATACTAGTCGAAAACTTTTGTTCCACAAAACACTGTGTGGAAATGAGCACGTACGAATGACGTTATAGAAGAGATGTCTTCACTCTCATCTTATTGCAGTATTTCGAAAACAATCACAAAATTTTCCTCTTTAGCCATCCATGTGTATTGAAATGAAAACTTTTTTCTCTCGTTGTGCAATTATCACTGTGTCTAATGACTCACAGGAAAGAACGATAGATGAAAATTATTCATACCAGCTATTACGACGTTATTTTTTGCATCACATACAAACAAGTATCGATTAAAAAATATTTTCTGAAGAAAAAGTCGCATGGCCACGAATCAACACAAACAATGCAAAAATGGAATACATATACATTCAGGTAAAAGAATTTGAACAAATATGAACAGATTATTGATGATTATCTTTCGAAGAACAAAACCGCACAAATCACTTATTTGAATTTTATAACGAAGTCGAGAACGAGTCGTGTAAAGAATCAGATGGAGGATGGCAAATCAGACAAGAAATTCGAAACCAATGGGATGCCATTCATCAAGCAATCGATGAAAACAATCCTGAACACCTGAATAATCTTCTCCCATCAAAAAATCTCTGTTATTGCTATGCAAAATATTGATCATGGAATTTTTATCGTCAAAAATATTTTGTCGGAGAGAATCTTCTTATAAAAGCCGTTAATCTTCAACATCCTCAATGTGTCGAGGTAATTCTTGACANGGGGGGGGGCGCAATCCCCCCCCCCCCCTGAAAAATTTTTGAAAGGGCAGTAAATTTTTTTCGCCACAGAAAAAACGAATATCTGTGGTAATAATAACTGAAAAATTTTTTATTGCCCCCCCTGAAATTTTTTTACCGGCCCGCCGATGAGTGCAGGGATTAATAATAATGTATTTGTCAATACTGCTGAGCTTTATTAATCAATATCGGTAACAGAATATTTTCTTATGTAAACCATTTTGCAAAGCTTTTTGTTGTGTCCAAACTATTTAATTATATACGCTTCTAATAAACTGTTACTAATCAAATAATAAATAAGTCTAACGGGTGAAGATCACTGACTTTAAAATCTCTTCCGAGTTGAAACTTAGCTTGCTGTAGGTGCTCGCGGGTGGCAGGACATGGATGAGTGTTGAGGACAGGAGTGGGCCATTTGATCTGACATCACTTAATTAACACCTATTAATCAATGCGAACTGTTAACCCTCTAAAAGTAAAGATCTGCGTAGCAAAAAATTTTCTGTCAATTTTTATGATACAAACGTCGGGAGGTGTTAAAATGTAGGTAAGACCTATGACTACAATCTAGCAAATGTGGTTTTTCGAAAAACTGAAATTAAGTTGAACTTGATAGAAAACTCGGCTTTTTATTGTTAACCAGATCGAAAATCAAAACCCCGGCTTTGTTAGGTTGTAGTACTGCTAAAAGTCAACAATAGTACAACCGATTGGGTTCATCTTCGAACTAGACTGAGATATTAATGGTATGATCCTACGTAGAAAATTTCAGCTCAATCTGCTTCGCCTATCCAAACTTATCGCACAAACGGACGGTCGGGGATACATATTACAAAAATATAGAGTAATAAACGACATTCTGTTATCAAAAACAAAAAATAGAATAATTTTGAGAACGAGCTTGACAAGATTCTATTGAGTAGTGATATCTAAACTCAAATGCTTTGAGCGATAAGGAGACACAATCACGATCATTTTTGAACAGATCGGAATACAGTTTTCAAGTGAAATCTTGCTTATTTTTATTCTCTAGTCAAACACTATCAGATTATTTTCTCTTTTGTATTTGTTCGAAAAATCCGATGCGGTAAAATATTAAATTCCACCAAAAATATATATTTTCAAACAATTCGCTGGAAGAAATTCTATACCTCTAAAACATGCACTCCATGTCACATTATTCCGAATTATAGTTCTCTGATGAAACATTATTTTTGAATAGTTTCTTGTTTGCCTTGAAGCTTGTTATGGTTTCTGTATTGTTATATTATGATTAAAATATACTGTACTACTTCACTCCTAAATTATGAAGATGTTCATTTTTATTTTTATTTCATACTTTTCGTTCCATTAAAGAAAGTCAAAACAAACCGTAATGAATTGTAAAACTCACAAATAATCGAATCAATCAATAGTTAACGTGTATCTTCTTTAGTTTGATATGAAATCTATTATTTTGTCGTTTCTTTTGATTATTGTTAAACGATTATCACTATCACTAAGAATGATTCACAATACTCGATACCAATGTATTGATCCACAATGCTCACTCATTTCCATCAGTTACGCATCATAGATGTATGCAAAATCTCGAATAACTCATCTTTGTAAAAGTACTTCAAAGAAATTCGATAATCGCTGGTGATGCAGAAACTGGTCCGTATACATCCGATCATAGTGTTGTAAGTCCAACTAATTGGGATTATAATGAAATAATCACTCAATCATATTCAACTTGGATTGGTGGCTATAGCAGTCAAGATGATAACGCTTAAACTTCAGTGATGTTTTTTGATGGATTCGATCAAATAGTGGGGAATATAACTACTATTGGGCCAGCTTTAGTATCAGATCGTGCCAACATATCTTTACTTCTTTATCGACAAGTCAATGGATTTTTTCCCTTTGGTACACGTTCTTTTCCGAGATTCGTTAAGTTTACTCGCATGAGTGGCACATATGGTAATGGTGCGATCGACAATATTTCTTTTATTTTATATCAGTAATTGATATAGTTAATGAACACTAATGAGAAATATAATATTAGTCGAAAACTTTTGTTCCACAAAACACAATGTGGAAATGAACACGTACGGATGACGTTATAAAAGAGATGTCTTCACCCTCATCTTATCGCAGTATTTCGAAAATAATCACGAAATTTTCCTCTTTAATCATCCATGTGTATTGAAATGAAAACTTTTTTCTCTCGTTGTGCAATTATCACTGTGTCTAATGACTCACATGAAAGAACGATAGATGAAAATTATTCATACCAACTATTACGACGTTATTTTTTGCATCACATACAAAAGTATCGATTAAAAAAATATTTTCTGAAGAAAAAGTCGCATGGCCACGAATCAACATAAACAATGCAAAAATGGAATACATTTACATTCAGGTAAAAGAATTTGAACAAATATGAACAGATTATTGATGATTATCTTTCGAAGAACAAAACCGCACAAATCACTTATTGGAATTTTATAACAAAGTCGAGAACGAGTCGTGTAAAGAGTCAGACGGAGAATGGCAAATCAGACAAGAAATTCGAAACCAATGGGATGCCATTCATCAAGCAATCGATGAAAACAATCCTGAACACCTGAATAATCTTCTCCCGTCAAAAAATCTCTGTTATTGCTATGAAAAATATTGGTCATGGAATTTTTATCGTCAAAAATATTTTGTCGGAGAGAATCTTCTTATAAAAGCCGTTAATCTTCAACATCCTCAATGTGTCGAGGTAATTCTTGACAAAATGATCTGTGAAGATTTACCGTCAGATATGATTAATTACGTCGATCCTATAAGTGATTATTATCCATTGGATATCGCTTGTGAAAAAAACAATCTTGATCTTGTTAAGAAACTTGTTGAGCGTGGTCGTGCAAAAACGTTTCAGTCTCAAGCGTTTTTCATTGCATGTCAACAAGGAAACGAAATGATCATGAATTATTTAGCAACACGATGTAATGTTCAATATCGAGATCGTCGCGGACAAACAGCTCTTGATTATGCCATTCGAGGAGGATATACAGAAGTCATTCGAACTCTGATCTATCATGAAGAAATTCATAGAAACAAACTGGGATTTTCTCCGTTGATGTTAATGGCTCATCATAATTTAACTGAATTTGTTGATTTACTTTTTGAGCGATTACCTTTACAAGAAGCTCAAGAAGAATTGGTCTTACTTGCTTGTCATTATACAATCATTGGTGATGAGGAGAAGCAGCAAAAAGCGTTTTATTACTTTGTACAAGGTTTAAACGAAGAAGAATCAAAGAGAGCTCCGATTCTTCACGAAGCTTATGAATATCGTCGTGAATGTCACACCCTCAAAGAATTATTATCAATACGAGAAAATAGCCATGCTTTACGTATTCATGGTTTACTTGCAACTGAACGCATTCTACTTCGGTTGGGTGATACTGATACTTTATTAGATTTTCTCTATCGACAATGTGATGTTTATCGACAAAATCAATCGCTTCATCGTTGTCTTCTATTACGTGTTCATGCTCATCAGATAGCTTTGAACACTTTTATTCAGCAAGATTATTTCTCTTGGTGGCATCGATGCCATTTACAGGAGTTTATTAAGGATTTGACTGAAACCTGGAACGAAACAGGTTGTGTACCGATCAGTTCGATTGAAATTATTACGGATTGGTTACTTAACGATGATGAATACTTTATGAATTTACAGTTTATATTTGATTTTTTTGCCACAATCGTTTACGTAAGTTTGTTTGATATTGTCCAATACGAAAAAAAATCTTCTTCTCGATTTAATAGATGATTCAATCGGATAAAACAAAAAGTCATGAGCGAAGTTCACTGTTTGCGATTGCACGACGAACAATGCATCTTGATAAAATAGAACATAGTCTTCTGGTTCATTATATTGACCGTTATGGAAATTACTTTTCCAATCATGAGTTACCTTTTTTCAAGTACATTTCTTTCTTTTCTTCAAATCAATATTCGAGAAGAATTATTTTCTTTTGTTTTAGCGTCTCAACTCTTTCAATTATTCAATTAATGATTCTATGGGGTGCAAATGTCAATGGAAGAAGTAAAAATTTATTTTTATTTCAACCATTGCATGTAATCGCAACGTGTTCTGATATTGATATTGCCAAACCAATTATTGAATTACTTCTCGATCAAGGAGCTCATCTTGATTGTATTAATGCTAGAAATGAGTTACCACAAGATTTAGCATCAGACTCAGCCATCAAAGAACTTCTTTGTCCTACTCGAAAACTTTCATTGAAATGTCAATGTGCTCAAATCATTGTCTCAACGAAAATCAACTACGGAAATTGTCTTCCTTCGAATCTATCGGCTTTTGTCAGATTACATGATAATAAATAAATAGACTAAAAACGAACAAATATTTGAAAATTTGTATTGATCTGTACATAATCCTCAAAAGATATTTGTCTGAGAACGTTCGATCAAAGTTTAGGTCGAGGGATCGAATCCTATACCAATATGCAATTCAATTCGATTTGCACTCGAAATACATTTTCTATATTCTCATTTCAATACACAATTAATATTCTTCGCACTGTGTCACTCAATAGCAAAAAATCTTGCTAAACAAATATTTACTTGAATCAAAAGACGCGTATATATATAAATATTCGGATACATATTCTATTTTATATTTCAATCATCGTCGAAACATGGCAAAGCTTCTGTTGTTATGCGTATTATTATTTTGTTATGGCAGTATTTTAATCGTGGGACAATTAGAGAAACCAAGAGGATGTCAAGACTTGTTCTGTAAAAGATATTGTAAATATGGTTTCGTTATTCCAGATGAGAATGGATGTCATAATTGTCAATGTAGTCCGTGTGAAATCGGTACAGCACTTCGAATTTCTTGTGAAAACGATGAAAACATATGTGAAAGCAAAGGTGGTATTTGCAGATTTGCTCAAAATGGTAAACAATATTGTTGTCCAAGAAAATCTGAATGAGACAGAAAAAAAATAAGTTTTTTCTCATATATTTCTTTTTCTTTTCATGAATAAATATAAAATGAAAATGTTTTTCTTGAATTTATCATTCTGCATAACGAAATCAAATTGTATCATTGAAAATTTCATCGTTGAAAGAAGAGTTTCTATCTAATCATATGCCCATTTGATAGATAAATAAATGTAAACCAGATCAGTGCAATTGGAAGTGTGAATAACTGTTTAACTAAAATCTTAAGAAAATATTCAATAAATGAAATTCCACAATGGAGAAAAAATCTTCTTTCAAACAATTTATTGGATACCAGATTTGATATAGAAGAACACAGAAAAGATGTGTTATCGGTGGAGCAAATATAAATTGGAGTATACTATATTGAATAATCAATAAAAAGAAACATTCGACCGATATGACAAACGGACGAATCGATGATTAAATGAATACCCATGTTTTTACGACGTATCCGTTTAGTAGTGAGACATATTTTCAAGGTCAATATATTGATGTATAAGGTTCAAAGTGTTAAAACTACCGAAATGATCAAATTATATCGATCGTTGTCAAATTGGACTTGTCACTTTCTTGGAATTAGCCGAGTTCAAACATTCGTTTATCAAAAACTGCATATGAATGGTATTTAAATGATAAATATGATCCTGCACTGAAATGTTTTCATGAATCTACACTTAATTGTACACCATTAAATTGTATTGTCTTTATACTATTATGTTTCATCCAGTACTAGAAGAACTTTGGTGTCAAGGTCAGTCTACTGTATATCGTGGTACGCGATGATTGATGATCTCAAACTATTGGATGGATATGTTTCAGAGATGTTTAATGCTAAAGACACCAATGATTCCAATCAGATCTCACTTTCATGTGCATATTATCTTCATAATAAGCGCCGTATAGCTCTCGATAAATCATTTGTAACGAGATATCCTAACCATCGAGAAATATTAATGTATACGTATACGTTTCTTTTCTCATCTCATTCGATGTTCTAGAGAATTGTTAGAAAGAACCTGTCATCTGTTCGAGTTTTTGTTCAGAAAAATGACCAAATTGATGTAATCATAACTTCCAGACACACTTTTTTCAATAAATGAATTTGAGTTTTACCAAAAACTCTTGAACTCAACATTCTCCAAGTATTTCCTTGTCATCAATTTTGATTATGTTCTCTTTCTTTTTACTTGTTTCCTCTCGATTATTTAATAAAAAAGTCTTTCTTTTCGAGGATCATTTATTAATGTACGTATATAACATTTTTCATCTGAATGAAAGAGCTCATACAGTACCAACTAAGACCTACGATAGATTTTTCTGTTAAGTCATACAAAACATCAAAATCTTTTTTGTAGGTATTTTTAAGTACTTAATTTCATTCAAGAAAAGTACTAAAAAGCAAAAAAAGAACTTATTGAGATACTGTATGCTATGAAAGGAAAAGAAGACATCAAATTAACGGAAATATTTTCTTCTACTTTTAATTCTACTATATAAACTGTGTTATATTCTTATTTTAGCTTCAATTATGGATGAAGGCGTTTCAATAAAATTTCTGTGTGTATTTTTAAGTATCTTTGTCGCACAAGCGATACCACTAAATTCACGTTCGTCTTATATGTCTTCTATGACAGGTTTTCAATTACAATGTGCTAATACAACTTGTTTACCATTGTCAACCGTTTGGTCTATCAACAGTTCTTCAATGTGAAATAGCTTGTTTAGCTCAAAACTTATGTCAAGTTGCGAGTTTTAACAATTTATTATCAATTTGTCAATTGTTCACTAATATAACATATCAAACTAGTACTGTCATTTCTCAAATAAATAATATTCTTACGATCGTCATTTCACGAACTCGGGTTCCAACAGGTTAGTTCATATGAATTTAAACTAGATACATCTCTTTTCACCTATAATTCAATGTTCATACAGTTTTTAACTGCGTCTCTTGATACTTTGATTAAGAAGAAAATCATTGATGACGAAACATGTTTTATTTGAGAATCGAAACTCTTCTGATTAGTTGATGAATTTGTAGTTAGTTTCTTTCGAATGAACTCTACTTTAAACTAAAAACTATCGGTTTTGATGGATGATAAATATGCTAATTGACTTTTCTCTTATCTTTTGTTCTTATTTGGCACACAGAATCATTCATCACATCAACAGGAACAGGAGCAACATTAACAACGTCAACTACAATTTTTTAGAAGCACTTGAACAGTTCAAATGCTTCTAAAAAAACATTCAGAATTCTATGTTTTGTACTTCTCCTTTGAATTGATCACATTCCATGTGAAGCTAAAACAAAGAAAATCTTTGATGAAGAACTAAACAAGACTTTTTTCCTTTGTCTTCGTATTTTTGAATTTCGATTTTAATACCTGATAGCGTTCGAGACTAAGGTTTGAGTTCTAAAATAACATAATGATGAGCTTGATCGCATTTCTCCACAAAATTCAATTAACTTCTGAATTGTATCAGATTCAGATGGTTTACCATAATCTTCAGTAGTCGTTCGTGAACCTTCACTTTCGCTCATGTTGATACAAATGAAAATAAAGATAAAAACAGGGTTTAGCTGAAATGATATGTGTATTCGAAGAAAACGCAAAGGATGTAAAATGGGGAGAGAGAACGAGAAAGGGGAAAGATAGTCTCTACTACGACGTCCAGATAATGGATAAATATAAGATTTATTCGTCGACAGTTATACTTTGTCGACCATTTTCGAGTGTGTATCTGCCTAAACCATCGAGCATAAATACTTTAACTATTTACAGATACGAAATGAAGTTAAGTAAACGATAGACAAATTATTTCATGTACATCAGAAATAAAACGTAATTTGATTCGTCCAGTACATTAATTCTTTCTGATTTAACCTCATGAATTATTTTTGTTAATTGATTAGTGGATACATGGAATTTTTTTATTCATATGAACCAACTTGAGAAGTATTGTTCAAAGATAAAGACTTTGATTCGAAACAGAAAAATTTTGACAATTTNGTGGGACAATTAGAGAAACCAAGAGGATGTCAAGACTTGTTCTGTAAAAGATATTGTAAATATGGTTTCGTTATTCCAGATGAGAATGGATGTCATAATTGTCAATGTAGTCCGTGTGAAATCGGTACAGCACTTCGAATTTCTTGTGAAAACGACGAAAACATATGTGAAGGCAAAGGTGGTATTTGCAGATTTGCTGAAAACGGTAAACAATATTGTTGTCCAAGAAAATTTGAATGAGATAGAAAAAAATAAGTTCGTTCTCATGTATTTCGTTTTTTTTTCATGAATAAATATAAAATGAAAATGTTTTTCTCGAATTTATCATTCCGCATAACGAAATCAAATTGTACCATTGAAAATTCCATCGTTGAAAGGATAGAGTTTCTATCTAATCATATGTCCATTTCATAGATAAATAAATGTAAACCAGATCAGTGCAGTTGGAAATAACTGTTTAACTAAAATCTTGAGAAAACATTCAATAAATGAAATTCCATAATGGAAAAAATCTTCTTTCAAACAATTTATTGGATACCAGATTTGATATGGAAGAACACAGAAATGATGTGTTATCGGTGTAGCAAATATAAATTGGAATATACTGTATTGAATAATCAATAAAAAGAAACATTCGACTGATAAGACAAACGAACGAATAGATGATTAAATGATAATGTTCATGTTTGTGCGACGTATCCGTTTGGTAGTGAAACATATTTTCAAGGCCAATATATTGCTGTATAAGGTTAAAAGTGTTAAAACTACCGAAATGATCAAATTATTTCGATCGTTGTCAAGTTGGACTTGTCACTTTCTTGGAATTAGCCGAGTTCCAACACTCCTTTATCAAAAACCGCATATGAATGGTATTTAAATGATAAATATGATTCTGCATTGAAACATTTTCATAAATTTACATTTAATTGTACACCATTAAATTGTATTGTCTTAGAATATACACATGATGGAATTCTGGTATTTCTTATACTATTATGTTTCATCCTGTGCAATGATTGATGATCTAAAACTATTGGATGGATATGTTTCAGAGATGTTTAATGCTAAAGACACCAATGATTCCAATCAGATCTCACTTTCATGTGCATATTATCTTCATAATAAGCGCCGTATAGCTCTTGATAAATCATTTGTAACGAGATATCCTAACCATCGAGAAATATTAATATATACGTATACGTTTCTTTTCTCATCTCATTCGATATTCTAGAGAATTGTTAGAAAGAACTTGTCGCATCTGTTCGATTTTTTGTTCAGAAAAATGCCCAAACTGATGTAATCATAACTTTCAAACACTTTTTTCAATAAATTTATTTAAGTTTTACCAAAAACTCTTCAACTCAGCATTCTCCAAGTATTTCCTTGTCATCAATTTTGATTATATTCTCTCTTTCTTTTTTACTTGTTTCCTCTCAATTATTTAATAAAAAAGTCTTTCTTTTCGAGGGTCATTTAGTAGTGTACGTATATAACATTTTTCATCTGAAATGAAAGAGTTCATACAATACCAACTAAGACCTACGATAGATTTTTCTGTTAAGTCATACAAAACATCAAAATCTTTTTTGTAGATATTTTTGAGTACTGGAATTGATTCAAGAAAAGTACTAAAAAGCAAAAAAGAACTTATTGAGATGCTGTATGCTATGAAAGGAAAGAAATAACTACATCAAATTAACGGAAATATGTTCTTCTATTTTTAATTCTACTATATAAACTGTGTTATATTCTTATTTTAGCTTCAATTATGGATGAAAGCGTTTCAATAAAATTTCTGTATGCATTTTTAAGTATCTTTGTCGAACAAGCGATGACACTAAATTCACGTTCGTCTTATATGTCTTCTATGACAGATTTTCAATTACAATGTGCTAATACAACTTGTTTACCATTGTCAACCGTTGGTCTATCAACAGTTCTTCAATGTGAAATAGCTTGTTTAGCTCAAAACTTATGTCAAGTAGCGAGTTTTAACAAATTATTATTCATTTGTCAATTATTCACCAATATGACCTATCAGACAAGTACTGTTATTCCTCAAATGAATTCTATTCTGATGATCGTCATTTCAAGAACTCAAATTCCAATAGATTAGTTCGTATGAACTGAGAAAGAATTGGCTCTTGTCATTGAATATCTTGATTATTTGACGAAGTTCTAGTTATACTTTCGAGTCAATTCTGTTAAAAACTTTCGAATTTGATGGATGATACATCGATTCATTACCTTTTTTTCTTATCTTTTGTTATTTTTTGAAACATAGAGTCATTCACAACGTTAACATCGACAATACCAACTACAATAATCTCCACAAGTACTATAGTAAGTGATCTGAAGAAAGTCATCAGCCATTAGTCGTTCTGTGAGAAGTGCTCGTTTCTTTAATATATTAGAGAAATGAAATGATGAAGAAAGGTTAGATTGAGATAGTTCGATGTTCAAATACCTTTTGTTAAACCGTAATATGGTATCAATGTACATAATAATGTTGAAAACGTCAAGTTTTGCAAAATTTGTTTTAGCAACAATTCTGTCCCCATGTGTTCCTCAAGCAAGTTCAAATGGAATATTATATTCTGCTATAAATCCATCATCATCGAATTATCCCACATACACATGTTATGCATATAACTGGACTGCAACATCTTCATCAGCAACATTGTCTTTCGGTTTTCGCCATGATCCTGGTAAATGGTTACTTGATGATATTCAAGTTTATTTCAATGGAATGAATTTAATCACAAATGGAGGATTCGAAACTGGTGATCTTACCGGTTGGGCTCGTACTGGCACTTGTTTTGCATCAGTTGGACACGTTGAGTCCGATGGATATGCAAAATCAGGTGGTTATTACTATCGGCTGAGACAAGACCAAGTTTTCATTTTCGAGAAAACATTATTTAGTTTTAGTTCTTATTTATTCGAGCTTATTGCAACTGAAACTTCTTTTTTTTGTCAAACAATAAAACGAGCGTATTTTAAATAGCTATTTTACTCCATTTAGAAAGCGGATGAGGTAATGCGATCAGAGCTATCCTGCCTAGTCATAGTGATTTGGTAGACCAGCTAACATTGCGGTTAATGGTGGCTTAACGAGAAAACTTTCTGCAGGTCATGGTATAAATCATTACTCTTTTTCTTTGTTATCATGTGGGAAAAGTACTCTGGCCTCTGTTTTCCATCACATTTTGTGTCAATGATTAATCTTCTTTGATTTATTTGTAAATATTTCATTGGGTAAATCGTCTGAGAACACTGATGTTGACATTGCTCAATAATTTGCACAGTTCGATGTTTTCTAAATGATTCGTTAAGCCAATTTTCCATATCTCTGGCGATCTTTCCAATGTCTGATGATCCATGAGCATCAATTAAAGTATTAAGCGTTTTTAAACTATTAATTCTCATTGGATCAGTAATATCCGACGATTTCACTGATTTTGTAGATGATTTATCTTCAAGAGATTATTTACTTGGAAAGATAACCCTTCTGTTTTCATTAACTGTTTATACAAGCAAAATGAAGCGAATTTTAGTCTTCGAAAGTGAATACCATGTTTTTGGTCGAACGACATTTTGTCGACGAAGTTTTGTCGAACGTTTTTTTTGTCGAAAGTTTTTTTTGTAGAGGAGCATTTCGTCGACAGAATATATTGTCGATAGCACATTTCGTCGAAGGATCATTCTATATTGTTCTTTTCATTTGCTCATTAGTCAGGGCACGGTTCAATTTTCTCTAATTATCTTTATATGT